TCATAATAGGAAATAAGTTGAGGTATAACGCCGTGAGTGGCATTATAGATTTAGTCCTTCTTCATTTTAGATAAAAAAAAAAAAAAATCAAATTTTAAGTAGATTTTAATAAAGGTTGATGGAATGTGTGGATGAAAAGTTGTGGATCCCATGAAATGCATGGTCAAAATTATTTGTTAACTATAAGGCCCGTTTGATTCCAATTTTTCTCAAAATACATCTCTCTCTCTCTCTCTCTCTCTCTCTATTTTTCTCAAAATACATCTCTCTCTCTCTCTCTCTCTCTCTCTCTCTCTCTCTCTCTCTCTCTCTCTCTCTCTTCATTTCAACCACACATTTTTCATTAAAATAGCAATACACATAAATCAAAAACTTTTCATCCACACATTCTCTATAAAACTACTATTATAAAATTCATTTTTTCCTTAAAAATGGGGGTCAAACACCTTCTATAACTTAAATTTTAATATTTTAGTTGAATCAAACATGACCTTAATATTCTATCTATTACATGTCAACATAGAGACTTTCAAAATAAATCAAGGCTTTCTTTCTTTCTTTCTTTCTTTTTTTCTTTTTTTTTTTTTACCTGAAATCGAATATTATAAAATTGGAACAATATAGGACAGATACAAATTTAGAAACTCTTGAAATTTACTTTTAGGCTTTCTCATTTACGAAGAAAAACTGTAGAAATCAACCAAGCTATATATAGGAATCCAAAATTCGAAATTGAAGACGTCGCCTATAATTTGGTCATGTGTATAAATGTTTAAATCACTTTTATTCAAACATTCCATTGAACTCTTGAGTAGTACCCACCTATCCATTACTCATTTATATATATTTATAAACAAAATCGTTTATAAATGTACTTTCCAACATGACGCCAACATTTGGTATCATAATAATTAATTTCCTAGTTAAAACTGAAATCTAAATTATTGCACTATAGAAATGAATTACAACTAATTCGCATATTAATTCAAGCACAAAAATTAACTGATAATCCGAGTAATCAAGTTTAGGTGAAGTGTTTCCTTTTCAAAGAAACAGTTATCTGCATTGACAATTCAAACGTGGTTTATGGTACAAAAAAGTAGCATTAAATAAACCATTTTTGGTGTCCTACATTCTCATAAATCAACATTCAATACCTATCTTTTACTTGCAAATTGAGATAACTTCGAAATTTGTTCTCTTGGTTCTTCTTGGTGTTCTTATTCGCACCACCAATGCAAGAAAGTTTGTTGGCACAGAAGGTTCTTTCAACGATGAGAAAAATTCTTCTTTGATCACTGGGATTTTAGGAGGTAGAGGGCTTGGTGGAGGTTGTGGTGGAGAGATCCGTGGAGGTGGAGGAACGGAAGGAGGTTCTGGTTCTGAAGGAGGATTGGGTGGTGTTGGTGGTGGTGAAGGATCTGAGGGTGGTTCTGGAGAAGGATTGGGTGGTTGGTTTGGAAGTGGTTCTCAAGGAGGTGGTGGAGGATTTGGAGGAGGTGGAGGAACAAGGGGAGGTTCTAGTTCCAGAGGAGGGTTTGGTGGTGGGTTTGGAAATGGTGTACAAGGAGGAGGAGGAGGTTTTGGTGGCGGAGGCAGGTTGGATGAAGGATCTGGTAGTGGATTTGATAGAGGAGCTGGTGGTGGAATAGGAGCTGGTGACATCTAATGAGTAATTAAGGAAGTTTCAGTCACATGCATTGTTTTCATCTCTTAATAAACCATTCCATTTGATAGTGATTAATTTCTTGGCACAATTAAAAAAAAATAGAAAGAAAGAAAAAGGGAAAAACATTTCTCGAGCCATTAAACTAGTATATCGAATATGTTTGATTTGTACTCAAAATTAATTTAAACAAATTAATTAATGTGAACTTCATTTGATTGATTAAAGAGCCTGTATCAATTTCTCATGCTTTATTTCTTCCATGCAAATCTTTGTATATTATAAGGTAAATCTGTTTGTTCTTACAATTATGTCACAAAATTAAAAAGAAAGTAATAGAGCTCTTTTCACTAATTTGGACTTTAATATGTTTAAAGCGAACAATTTGTGAGAGCACTGTAATATTATATTTTCTAAGCGAATAAAATTCGTGTAATGCTTAGTTTCAAATTGATAAGTCATATCCAACTTAACTTCAATACACAATTTAGAGTCAACTTTGGCACGCTCAATTTGGAGTCGAGTTTCTCTAGTGTTGCACAAGAACTTGTGTGTGAGGAAGGATTTGATATATTTTTTTAAGGACTTGAGACAAATTAAATAGCATTAAAAGGAGCCAAAAACATGTTTGACCTATATAAACATCAATCAACTATCAAATGAAACATAATCAGCATGCTTATGTGTATGACTATATTGAAATTGACCAAGATTAGACATCTTCAAAAAAGGATGCACTTCAACTCAATTAGAACAAATAAAAATAACAAAATGTGACATCAAGATATAGATTCCATACGTAGACAAACATTCAATGCTTTTTTTACGGAAGAAGAAAATCTAGAAATGGTCCAAATGTACATCTAGAGCTCTATTGTTTATCAATCTACAATTAGCAAGATACAAAAGA